GCACAGCTTTTTCGTCTTTGCCAGCCAGGGGGCGGAACTGAGTGGAGTGTTTCCTCTCCCAACAGCAGAATCTGCTGCCTGACGGTGCCTGTTGTGTCGCAACTGGCGTCAACGGCAGTGTACTGATACTGTAACCTCAAGTATTGGGCTAGGCATCAAGCATTTTGGCAAATACGAGTACTCGCCCAAATATATTGGCACCAATACTGATAATACTACTAGTATTGGTATCAACGCATCCCTAGTATCTACATATTGCTAATCTCATTCACAAGAAAAATAAGCATTGAAAAGACATATAATTCCCCTTTAAATGAAAATGCAATGAGAAAGTAATATAGGACCGTGTGAAATCTTGGGTAAATTATATATATTTTTTCATATGCATACACATAAAACAATCAAAATCACTTTGCAGTATATATAAAGTATTATACATATAAATAATATTGGTTTAATGTTTTGTTACATTATACTGTATTCAAACAAGTAACTATTACTGGTTTTAGTTATTTTAATTAAATTTAGTGCATTTATAAGTGAGTGAGACATTATATTGGTGATCAGGCTGGTATGTACAAGTCCTGGCGAATACTCTTTGGCCTCTCTCAAAAAAGTCTTGCGAGACTAAAATGTTGAAAAACAGGTTTACTAATTAAAATTTCCCTCCCCCTTTGAGGATCCTGCATAAAGGTTTGCTTAGCTTTACCTGGCAGACCGTACTATTGGCCTCGCCCTGTGAGGAGGCAGGTAAAAGTAATAGTAACAACGTATGCGTGTCTTCAATCTTCATAGCTTCCTCTTGTTGTGCACATTTGGCGGAGAAGAATCTACGTGTCACAAGAGTGCTAACATTGTTCAGAAGTATTTAATTTGTTTTATGCCTTAAATTGGAATGTCTGAGGATCAGGACTGGAACAAGAAATCTGTCAAGATTTTGACAAGAAAGGACGGAAATACAAAATGCGCAGACTGCGGAGAGCCAGGTGAGAACAGATTAAAAGGGAAGTGAGGCTGACAAACACAGTATAAGGAAGCACAGACAGAGAATAAATTATGATATTACCAATTTTCCAATCCCTTCATATAACCCTACAGATTGTGACCAATCTGTAGATACGTTTTTTTTTTTATAGATGGTAAACCTTAGAGCACGTGCAGTGAAAGAAGTTCATTTTTGCATGAAATAATATGAAGTAAAAAAGCCAAACAGCTCACAGAGACTGTGTATATATTTACTACTCTCCTTTAGACGAAGAACATGAAATACACTATGCAACTTGTAAGTAAGTGTAAACCAAATATTTACCTACAACATGCTGTGCAACTCCTAGATACCAAGGTGCCTCCCATGGGTTTAGAGTCAATAATGTGTTTGGTTAATTAGGCAAAATATTATTTGAGATTCAAACAATCTGGCTGCTTAAAGCCATTAGGGGGCCTGAAGTGGACAGCCCTTACTTGGAATATACATTGGTTGCTGTTAGTTAATAGGAAGCCACTATTGCTCAACATCCTGTTAATTCAGCAGGGAGCCTTTGTGTCTGAAACCTAATTCTTCCTTATAGTTAGGCGTTATAGCTACTACATTGAATGCTAAGGTTTGGCATCAGCTTCTACTCTTGTTATGGTTATGTTTATGGGCAGTTGTCGGTAGACATGTATCTGATTAGTACATTTTCAAATTGCAGAAACCATGGTGACCATAATGCATCTCTTTTTTTTTTCAGACCCTCAGTGGGCTTCCAGCACACTAGGTGTCTTCTTATGTGTGACTTGTTGTGGTATACACAGAAATCTCCCAGACATCAGTACAGTGAAGTCACTGAGTATGGCCAAGTGGGAAGAAGACCAAGTCGAGGTAACATGCACATTTTTACTTTGCCTGGTCCATATCAGAAAATACACAGATAATGATATTATTTATAGAGAAGTTTGCATGGATTTATTTTTTTATAGAATTGGGTTAGCATTTAATTTAAAATTAGTGCTGAACTATGGTAGCCATCATTAAAAACACTTTGTTGTTATCCAGTTAAATACATCTAATGATTTGTTATCGGTACTTATCTGCACAACTAGCATATGTACCTCGATCTGTCTTGACATCAGCCTTCTGTAATCCACTACACATCAACACTCACAGATTGGGAGGAGAGGAAGAGTTGGCATCCTTAGCCAGTCATAGCTCTATTGCTTTGTACGTTGTTCCTCAGCATAACAGTGAACATGTTTATGTTGGAAATGCAACATTATATTCTGTTTGTATTACTGACATTCTGATATGTCTTTTGAGCTGTAGATGGCGCTGTAGTGCAGTGTTAGTCTCTCTCTCTATGCATGCTTATCTATGATGCACAGAAAGTTTTGCTATATACATGTTTCCTGCACAATGCTGTATAGACAGATGTAATATTCTTCTAGGCAAGTAAAACTTAATTCAGCATTACTCAAAATCTCAGTGCTTCATCTAAACACATAACCAACAGTTTACAGGATACAGATATTACTTCATAAATATGCTCATACTCTATGATTGTCCAATCACAGGCTGAAGGAAGAAAGTTGACTAAGAAAGCAGAACTTTAGCATTCATTTTTTTTCTATAGTCACCTGTCAGAAAGGAGAGTGCAGTTACCATGATTTCAGGGATGTTTGCCTGTAGTTTTACTTTAAATCTGTGTCTTTGAAATAGGAATATTTCAAAGAGATTACAATCTTGTAGTAACCCATTGGCAGCATATTTTGCAACACTATAGAAGACACATTGATCCATTTGTTTACGTGACTGCAGTTCTAAGGAAGCCAGAACAAAATGCATCAGCAGGAAGCACATGTATAAATGCACTGGCACATATTTGTTGGTTCTCCACACGCTATAACCAATACATCTGTAGATGTTGTTTCAACACTCATTGCAAGCACTTTTCTCTTTTTGATCCTCAAGTTCAGTTCCTATGACTAGGTCGTTAAGCGAATTGGTCGGTAAGCGAGGAACTGTGTACAGTACAAACGGCAAAAATTACAGTACTGTATGAACAAGATATACAAAAAAGGAAAAAAGAAAGACTTTCAGGCTAACATTTTAGTCATTGAATCCTTTAAAGCAGTGGTTCTCAACCTATGTAACCTCAGGACCCACATTTGTCCTTGGACATTAAGTGGCGACCCAAGTTGCAGTGCAATGGAATGCACGGCATTGTGGTACCATGGGTTCCGGTGTGAGCGATCCGTGCGATCCTCAGCTTGGGGTCCAGTGCTGGGCTGCTGTGCTGTGACAGAGCTCCATCCATACATGCATTGCTTGTACAACTCCCTTGCGCCCTGTAGAAGTGCTGGGAGCCAGAATGTGATGTCACTCCGATCCAGGCACCTCTACAGGTCACGTGAGGGAGCTGTAACCAATACATATATAGATGAAGCTCCCTCGCGGCCATTGCTCCAGCCCACCCCACCTCAAGCTGACACTTGGCGCCAGGCAGCATATTCTGAATGGCTGCTCAGCACAAGAACTGATGTTGCTACGCTAGGGGGAGGCTGAGGAGGCCTCTCACATAGAAAAGTGAAGGGCATGCGGCGACCCACTGAAATCGGGGTCGCGACCCACTTTTGGGTCACGACCCACCAGTTGAGAACCAAGGCTTTAAAGTCATTGTCATTATCAGTAGGGATGCACAGATACTTTTCGAGTACCAGTGCCAATACTTGGCATTTTCATGAGAACTACCAGGGTTGCAGCGGTTGCAGCTGGGATCTAGCTCTGGCACTCCACCACTGTCCTGAAATCATTAGTCTGTATTGTTTTAGAAAAACTGTCACATGACAATAAACAAAAATGTATAAGTACTCGTACTTGTAAGTACTCGGCAAGTACCAGTACTCGTACTCGCAAAACTGGTATCTGTGCATCCCTTTATTTATATTTATAAAAACAAAATCATACATTAAAACAGAGATGTACAAATCCCGGGAGCTCCGTGTGCTCCTTACAAATGACAGCTGCCTCCTAACTTTTGAATTTTTCTCTAGTCTAGTCTTGGAGCTCAAAAGTATCGGTACATGTACTCGTACTTGTACCAAGTACTGTACTTGATGTACAAATGTTCTATGATTTCCAAAAATCACGAAGAGTTATTTCATCATTTTCTGTTGCTGCTACAGCTTTGGAAAAAGTTTTGCGCAAATAGTACGCTTTGAATGTAGCTATAGCCCCCTGGCCCATTGGCTGAAGGATAGCAGTCGTGTTTTTGGTTAAATACACTACCTTTACATCTGGGTGTAGATCATCAAGATTCTGGGGGTGGCCTGTGGCATTATCAAACAGGAGGATAATTTTAAAGGGAACACCCTTTTGTAGACAATAATGCTTCACCGAGGGTATGAAGCAGTTGATGAACCAATCCTCAAATAAAGCTTGCATAATCTATGCCTTGTTATTTGCTCGATAGTAAACGGGCAGCGTGTGCTTACTAACCTGCTTCAATGCACGTGGCTTCCTATTAACTGATAGATGAGGAAAGGTTTCAACTTGAACCCAGTAACATTTCCTCTCAACAACAATGTGACACTGTGCTTTAAAGCCTTGAAGCTGGGCATTGTTTTAGCTTTTTTTGTGTATGTGTGTTTGTGTATTCAGGCATTTGCTTCCAAAAAGTCCAGTTTCATGCACATTGAAGATTTGTCATGGATAGTAGCCACCTTCCTCTATAATTTTATCAAATTGGTCAACAAATTTTTCTGCTGTTTCTACATATGCACTTGCCGCCTCACCGCTGACACTTCAATTATGCAGGTAAAGGAGAACTATGAGGTGAGTGCTTTTCACTCACCTCATAGTTCTAGCCGACCTGTGACAATGAGACTGTCACAGGTCGGCTCACTAGATCGGGAGGTGAGCGAACACATATCAGCGTTTGCTCACCTCTCGATCCTGTCACGGCTCTTTGCCGTGACAGGGGAGGGGCTGGATTCCCCCCTCCCCGCTCTGATCCGCCAGCGCTGACTGGCGGAACGGACGGGGGAGGGGGCAGGTACAGCTGGGTCTGCCTCTAGATAGGCAGAGCCAGCTGTCAGTCATGCAGCTGGGCGGATCCCGGCACAATTGTCAAGATCCGCTTCAGCGTCTCAGTATACCGCGAGCAGCAGCTTGCGGCATACTGCGGCGTCTCAGTATACCGCAAGCCACAGCTCGCGGTATACTGAGCCTAGGGTGACGGGAGGATGCTAGTTTGTGTCCTCCCATTACCCGAAGAACTATGGGGAAAAGCCTTAACCCCACAGTTCTCCTTTAATTCTTTATCAGAAGGCAGAGCAGTGCAGGATATTTATTACAACTGACATAGAAACAAGTAAACAGATCAAGGTACCTTTAACATATCTATAAGGGATATTTGTAACAACACCTAGCACACTGAAAAGGTGTCAACAAAAGGCAAAGGGAAAAGGCTATCCCATATAGGAATGGTAAATCTTTGGCATTAAGAAATTAAATCTGCACTGACATGAACACAGTGTACCCTTCCGTTTTCCTATTTATAAGTCAGATAAATGTGTGGGGGTAGGAGGTAAAAACAGGAACTGAAAGTTCGGGGTATGGACAGAAAGTAGGCATGGGAGTCTGTAGAACGGGAGAGGTAGTGAAGAGGTGGGAAGGGATGGGAAAAGGGGAGGGGGCAGAAAATGAGACATTGGACTAGGGGAAAAAGGATGAAGGGGGTAAAGCATGTCTCTGTTGGCCACAGGGCTCCCTCGGAGGACCAAGTGCATCTTTTGTAGTATGGTTGGATCAGTTTTTCCCAGTGGGGATGAGAGAAGAGCGTTATATTCCTGGGGAAAAGGTGACGTCTACCCAATAGAAGCACATTTTCCTAAACTTTTTTCTCCTTGGCATTTAGGCATAATGGTGACATCTTCCATAATACATAGCTCTTGGACTCCCATGCACCACACAAGTGGGAGGAGGGGTTTGCTTCCACAGCAGAAAAATACATGTTCTCGCTGTGTTGATGAGGTATATTATGAGAGAGCATTTGTAGGCACGTTTGCGGAATGGACTAAGATGCGGTAGGTATGCTACAGGGGTCTTCCCAATAACATTTGTTGAATTAGGGATTTAACCCCATCCCAAAAGGTTCAGAGTATTAAGAAGTCCCAAAAAATGTGGAACAGAGTACCGCCAACATGAACTAGAAGTTTGCAAAAAGCTCTTGTGCAGGATTTAGGGGACTATATACCACCTAGAAAGATTTTTAAATCCAGATACCTGTATTTTTTTGCCAGCTGAAGTTTTGTGGGCAAAGTTAAGAATACAGTCTTTGTGTTCTGGCAAGAGTTTAGTCCCAAGGTCCCAGTCCCATTTCCGTAGGTGTGGTGGGAAGTAACTAAAAGGCGGTCGGTTCAGCTAGTGATAGGAGTATGAGAATGCATGGTCCAGGGGGTGGGATCCAGAAAAAGATCTTCAAAAGGCAACGGTAAAGCTCACCAATTCTGCCAATTTGCAGTAGGTCAAGAAGAAAGTGTCAAATTTGGGTTGCCCCTCCACATTAATAGGGGGGTTCTTAAGGATTGTTTTCCAGCACCCAAAAGACAGAAAATTCCGTAGCAAAATGCCTTAGCTACCAGTAAGGCTTTAAGGTCTATATTTGAGAGTATGTTACAGAAATGCCCACTCTACCCTATAAAAAGATTTTTATGCATCTGTTGATTTCAGGATGGTAGGGACCTTATTTTGTGCGTGCAACATGAATCAGGTTGACCACCCTTGTATTGTCTTTTGCCTCATGCAGCGGCAAAATAAAGCAAACCTGATCTAAATAGCTATTGTAGATGTGGTAGTATTTGCCAGAATTTTTGTTAATATTT